CCTCCTCCTCCTCCTCCTCCTCCTCCTCCTCCTCCTCCTCCCCCTTTGTGGTTCTTAAGGAAAGCACAACTGAGCTCCCGCGACCTGGAGGCACAATTTGCCTCTGCGATGCCCACACATCGCTGCAGGCAGAGGGACCCCCGAAACCCCCTCCCCTACTCCGTCTCTTCCTCCTCCTTTCTCTCGCCTGGGCATGGACGAACAGGGTTCTCCTGGGCTCCACAGCACCATCTATAGCCAGACAAGCTGTGACGTTTTCACAATGAAAGAGGCAAATGAAGCAGGGAGGGAGGGAGGGGAGAGACCCCTTCTTCTTTGTTTGAGTCAGTTGGCTGGGAAGAGAGGAGAGGTCAGGGAGGAACCAACTAGGGGCAGAAATGGCCGAGGAACAGGAGCAATGTGGCACGCGAGGACTAGATAAAGAAACCCGCAGGGCGCGCGAACAGGCCCAGCCCCTGCATCCTGCCAGTCCTTCCTAGAAGCAAGTTCGGGCTCACCCAGCGACCCGGCATGGCCCTGGGAAAAGACCAGAGTCCTGCTGAGGGAAATGCCTCCGTTTGGCGAAGGGGGTTAGCAGCACGCCAGCCGTGGTACCCAACAAAGTCTTCAGGCAAGGCGGCCAATTAAAGCGACAAAGGTGAAGCGAGCATAAAGCAGCGCACGAGCTACCCCGGGGTTCCAGCAAGCCCCGAAGAGGATGGCAGCCTGGTGCTCTTCAACATGGCACTGAAGACACCGTTAGAAAAAGAGGCAGGCAGCGGCAGCTGGGGCTTCAGAAGTGCTGAGTGAAACGCCTTGTGGCTTGGAGTGGAGAGCTCTGGTGAATCGTGGAAATTAAGATAAAGTGCGCAGGGCTGCTTTGTCTGCAGGGCTGAGAGAGGAGCCGGCAGCAGGGGTCCCCGTGACACACGGAAGCTCATATCCCAGAGACCTGCACGTGCAGACGTGCATGGACACCCGCGCGCACACTGGGACCAAGAGCGACGCACCCCTGCACCCTCTCCCCAACCAAGCGGCCTCCAGAAGCGTTGGGCCGTGACCGTGACTCACCTCACTCCCAGGCAATCGGCTCTGGCTCGCTGGTTCACATGTACACTAGACAAGCCACAGGAAGAGCAACAACCACCAAGCCTTTCAGCTTACATTTACAATAAGCCAGAAGTCTTCCCACTTCTGGCTTAGCGTGATTTGCCAGTATGGCCCTTGGATAAAGGGCTCTCTCTTTTCCGAACCTGCCGCCACATTGAGGAACTCAAATATACCTGCCTTTCCAACCACTGGCGACTTACTTTATCCACTCGTTTCTTTAATTTACATTCCATCTTCTAACAGGGCGGCTTGCCTGCCGAAGTACAGGCCAACAGCCACCTGAGCCTGCTGACCTCCCCGGCTGGATACTGTTAGCAGGCTTAAAGTTACCGGCTGGCCTTGGGAGAGGAAGAGAGGCGCTTGCTGACTGAAGGACATACGCACGGCCAAGCCCTCCTGGTTATCAGCTGGTGCCTGATGTAAGGGAAGGCAGCGTCACAAGAGAGCAGGCACAGAGAGCCGGTTTGGTGTAGCGATCAAGGCAGCAGGCTAGAAACCAGGAGGCGGTGAGTTCTAGTCCCGCCTTAGGCACGAGGCCAGCTGGGTGACCTTGGGCCAGCCATTCTCTCTCAGCCCTAGGAAGGAGGCAAGGGCAAACCACTCCTGAACCCTTGCCAAGAAAACTGCAGGGACTTGTCCAAGCAGTTGCCAGGAGTCAACACTGACTCGAAGGCGTGCGTGCACACACAGAGACACACACGCAGTCGCAATCCACCTGCTTTCAGAACTTCAAAGACTAGTATCTTGTTTTTCCTCCATGAATGACTTCCTGCCCTATTTTGAGCCTCGACCAGCACTAGCACTAATACAAAAGCTGGTGAGCTGTGTTGCAGTAGCTCACGTCAAACAACCTTGGACACATCCTGGAAATGCCAGACAGGATGGAAAAAAGAAATGGAAAAAAATAACAACTCGCTTGCATTCAGTTACACCAAGCATGCTGAAGCTTCCTTTCTGAAGCAGAGGGAGGGGGTAGTCAGTGGGTAGATGGAGCAACCTTGAGAAAAAAGGCACAGAGGGAGGGAAAGAGAGCCGGCACAGGGTGAAAACAAAGGCATGCAATCATCTCTTTATCTTCTTCATCCTGGCACAGTCACATCATCCATGCTGCAATTTTGCCCTCTTGTTATTGTGATTCTCCAACAAGTCATTAGCTACCAAAATACCTTCTTGCCTATCTGAGCCAGAGGACCGGCAGCACTTGGCAGGTCTGAGGGAATACAGACCGGTTGCTACTTTTCCCCACATCTCTCTTTTCCATGCTCTCTCTCTCTCTCTCTCTCTCTCACACACACACAGTCACAGATCTAGAGATAGCAATAGGTGTTGTCACCTCCAAATGAAAAGGACACAAGATTTCACCACTCTCTAAAGCCTTGTCATACCACTGCCAGGCAAGTTGGAACAAAGAGGTGAAACTAAGGTCATGGAAAACTAGATCAGACTCAGAGCAGGATGAGAACCAATTTGACTTATTATTTTGGTGAGAAACTTAGGGAAGCATTTCCCCCCCGCTTGCCTGCCAACGTTGCTTAGGGAAGTGCTATCCATCCCTGCTTGAGAGGCTGGTAGGTATCCATGAGATGTGGATTCCAGATGCACCAGCTATTCATCCATCCTGGTTTCCCTCACAGCACAGCAGCAGCTCTTGGGCCCTTTCTCCTGGCACGAGTTCCAGAGTTCCCTGTGAGGCCAGGACGACAACTGCGCAGGTTCACATCTACCCTGGAATAAGGTCCCGTAAGGTGCTTCGTGTGCTGCAGTTCTTGTTGCAAGCCATTATTCTATGTAAGGAAGAAGATGCAGACCAGAACTGCCTGCAGATTGAATGTGCATGGAGGAAAGTCACACTGCATTGCTAATCCAGGGAGAGTGGGCTCCCATTAAGACCACATATTGTTGAACAGGCAAACGCTTTAGTGAACTGCCACTTTCGAGAACAGGCACCTTTTCTGGACCAGCAGCAGAAAGAACACTGTGGGACCCCGACCAGCCGTGGTCTTTTCTCTCTTCCTAGAGGCTGCTCAAGCCTCAGGAGAAAACACGGACCAGTAAAAGCATTTGGGGCTTAATCCTCAGTCATGTGATCAAAAGAAGGGGCCTACTTAAATTCTGCTTAAGAAACCCAACTCTGGGCAGCAATAAAACACAAAAGCCAAAAAAAGCGAAACCTGGGGCCTCAGCCATCCTTCTCTGGTCCATCCAACACCACCACCTCTGGCCTCCAACCTCGCTCTACTCCAGCGCTTGGGGGAAAGAGCGGGCGCTCTGCGCTTGCTGGATCCTGGGGAGAAGGGTCTTCCACAGGGGAGGGGCTGCTACAGAAAAGGCATGCTTCCTAGGTCCCACCTGAGGGCAGCCCTTAAGCGAAGGGGCCTGGAGCATGCCCACCCTCTCTGACCTGGTGGAAGAGGCAGACCCCCTCCGGGAGAGTGGTCCCGCAGATAACCTGGCCCCACGCTTTGCCTGAAAGTCCCTGGCAGCGCCTCCTCCCTCCCTCCCCTCCAAGTCCATATTCTGTGGCTCTGACTGATGTTTCCCAGAAAGAAGGGTCAACTAATTTTATGTCTAACTTGAAAACAAGAATAAAAAAGAGGAGATTGCAGGCCAGTTAATTAAGTCTGACTCATTAACACTCAAAACTCCAGTTCTGATTACAGCGGATTAAAAAATATGAAACGTTGCATCAGAAAGAGAATCTAACCTGCTCACGATGGGAGCTTCCTGTTCCATGCTGAGAGTTGGCGGGCTGAGCCCACAAGAGCTACAAGAGGAGGAGAAGAACTGGACTCCTCAGGGCTGAGTGATTTCCTCCTAGCCAGCTTGTTTTCCTGCAGTTAGGGTTAGGGTTAGGGTTAGGGTTAGGTCCTATGATTAAGTTCCTATGGAAGCCCGTGGAACACCTCCAGAAAAGCCTGGACCCAAACCTACCACAAATGTGCCATAAATTGCTTCTCCTTGTAAAGTCTCTTAATCTCACGAGACTGGTGTTTTACACACACACACTCGTACGCAGCTACAAATAGTTAAAAAGAATTACGGTCAAGCTGTTGTCCCTGGACTGTAACACTCCCGTCCCTCAGTGCTGGGTCTGCTGGAAGTTCCAGTCCAACGATAACAGAAGGACCAACTCCCTCCCCCACATACACACTCTGAAGGATACAAGATACAACACTAGACTGACTAGATGCCAAATATGTCATGTTTAAAAATTCCACAATGTACTCTGCCGGTGTCAGGGCTAATAAAAGGAAAATAAAAATTAAAGGGGAACTTGAAAACTCCCTCCAAGCTTCTAATTACCACACACACACAAAACTTAGGGCAAGGAAATCCAACCAGAAACTCCCAACAGGAGCAAATCTGAAATACACACAAATATGCAAAAAATTCAATCCTGCATTTGAGATGGTGCCAAGAATATTCTGGGCCAGCTTGCAGCCCATAGTAAGCTCCGCTGTGTTCATAAGCAGGCCAAATGACTCCACAGGACCGAACAGCTCCCCCCCGCCCACCCCCTAGCACTCCAGTCCCATCAGATGTCTTCAGGAAGCATCAATATTATCCTCCACAAGCAAACCCATTCCCTTGCCTGCCGGCCTGCAGCTCTTCCAGCAATATTCACTCATTTAAAAAAGAAACCAAAATTCTCTCTCTGCCATAAAAGCACAGTGTCTTTTTATTGGAGTTCACACAGAGGACTAAGGGGTTCACTTTGTAGCTCTCAGCAGACGGACGACAAGCAGAGAAGTGACTAACTCATGAAAGGAAGAGTACAAGGAGGAAGAGACAGCCCAGTAGACTGGACAGTCTTCTAAGGAGGCAGCCAGGAATCACTGTAGAGCTGGAGGCTCATCTTCGTTCCTCTTCAACCCTTCGAAAAATTGTTATCAGAAAAGCAAAGAGAGAGAGAGAGGGAGAAAGAGAAGTACCACACCCTCCATCACACCTGTGCTATCTGGCTATAATATGAGAAGGGAGGCCTCAAGTTGGTCTTCTGAAGCGCTTATCCAGAAGATCAACTCCCAAGCACGGAGTTCAGCAAGCACCGAACCAGAATACACGTCGGACGAGTTTCGGTCTGAGATAGCTGGGAAAGAACAAACAGCAACGCAGCCTCAGTTCAGCCGCCTGGCCGCAGCGTGGGCCATCCCCTGCGAGCTCTCTGTGCCCCGTCCACGGAAGCCAGCAGCAGACACTTCTTCCAGGAAGCTGGGGAAGAGAGAAAAACATCCGGGGAGAATTAGAAGAAAATGAGTAGCTTCTCCCTGGTGGGCTCCAAAGGCCAGCCTCTGGCCAAGTGAGCAGGATCTGGCCTTGGGAGTGCAGACAGGTACAGAAGTGGACAGAAGGCCACACTTTCACCTCTGGATTTTAAAAGCATCCCTGCGCCTGCCGCACCGAAGCTGAGGACCAAGAAAGGAAAGCGGGATGCTCCCAAGGGACCACAGACAAGGTGATTCCGAGCCCTTCTCCGAGCCCTTTCCCCTTGCCTGGGGATTCACCCGCCCACCTGCATGAACACCACCAGAGCCAGAGTAGAAAGCATAGCAGACTTGGGGACGGGGGGAAATGCAGTGCAGATACCACCCCCAAGTTCTGGCTGCTGATGAAAAGACGAGCGAGGAGAAACCCACAGGCTCCAGAAGTAACGTCTGGGGCCACTTTATGAAAAGAAGCCTCCGAAATAATATCCAAGACTTGTTAAGCTCAGCAATGCTCCTGCTGGAGATTTCTGATGAGAAGGGATTAGTGCTTTTGGCTTGAGAGATAGAGTTTGGTGTAGTGGTTGGGGCACCAGGCTAGAAACTGGGAGGGTATCAGCCCCAGGGAGAAGGCGGCAAGGGCAAACCACTTCCAAGGACTCATCCGGGCAGTTGCCAGGAGTCAAGACTGCCTTGAGGGCACACACACAACCGCCATCACCTTTCAGCTTCATCTTTGAAAACGGTTTTAAAGATGGTTCATGATTTATGCACTCTTAAAACCTGATTGTGCTTTTTCGCTTGAAACTCCATTAGCTGTTTGGAGCACTCTTCTTGTTTTTTATTTTACTTTGCTTATTATTTGTTAGATTTCTATCCCGCCTTTATTTTATCTCCATAAGATCAACTATGTGAGGTGGTTACACTCAGTGAGGGGAGGACCGATCCAAACTGCCCTGGTCATTTCCACGGCTGAGCCTCCCGGGCCCTCTCCCAACTTCAGCCCCTTGTTTACCCTGGCTCTGGAGAGGTGGCCAGGCATCCGACAGTTAATGAAAACAACTTGTTTTCATGCGGCTAGGAAAAAACAAATCCAAGCACGCACCTCTTCCCTTACGCCCACCAGCAGCAGCCTCACCCACCCCAGAACCCTCCCGCTTGAAACCCACTGCAGCGACGGGAGGAAAGGCTCTAGTCTGGGCCCGCGCAAAGATCGAGTCTTCGCCTGAACGTCACCCGGGGATATTTTTATTTATTCATTCACTCAGTTTACGTAGCCGCCCGCCTCAGACCAGTGGCTCTTCCCTGCCTGTCAGCTCTCCATCTAGAAGCGTTCTTGGAACATCCCACATGGATTGAGTTCATCTTCGTTGTATGTCAGCAACTTCTGGGAACTCCCTCTGAACACAGAGGACCAGAATATCGTGGCTGAGCTCCAGGAAGATCATCCGTCAGAAGGGTTTGCTCCAGTCCGCACTCCTGCACTCTTCCTCTGGTGAACATGAGAAGCACCACTCGACTTGTGCTCCAGGATGCCTTCCATTCTCTCCGGGAGAAAGCCAGGAAGTCCCTTCGCCCCCCACCGCTTTCTCCCCACCGCTCTCCCTCCTCAGGAAACGCCCCTGAACACACACCGCAGTGAGGCAAAGGCCAGGCCCTCCTGGGACGTCTGCCTCAGAGAAGACGCAGAAGCAGCAGCCTCCCCTCTAGGAGGCAGCTCTAATAACACCAGCTGCTTTTCGCCAACTTCCACACTAGGAACTGGCTCAGGGCATCAACTGTACATGGGCTGGTTGCACCACAGTGCAATTTTTCACACCCGAATCACACCTGTGATTCAAAAGCACGCCAAAGCCAAAAAGCCGCCTGCTGGGTTCTGATAGTCCAAAGGACCCGCGTTAGCATTTTCTCCATTGAGACCGGGTCACGTGAAGATAGAGAGGTGCCCACTCAGATGCTTCTTGGATCCTGTCCTGCTACAGGAGCTGGCTGTACTAGCAGGGCTATGTGGCAGGGAGGTGAACATTTCCCACACCTGTGGATTCACAGGAGTCAAGTGACTTAACCGTAAAAAAAAAAAAAAAAACCACATTTGGGCACGCACGTGTGACTGCAGGCTCATACATGTACCTAGACCGGGAACAGACGCTGCTTCACAAGCAATGGGCTTTTGCTACTGAACTGTCACGACCTTACCTACCCCTGTTGCCTCTTATAACTTGCTGAACTAATTTCTGTCCTGAGATGTATTCCTGGTTAAGCTGGAAACTCGACAGGGTGCCCCTCTAGAGGAGGCCGATCGACTGTGTCGCAGTGCTTCCTCAAAGTGGGTGTGAAAACAGAAGCTGGTAAGATATGCACTGAGAAGAACGCTTGCTTAAACAGCATGGTTACACACTGGCAATGGTATCAGAATGAAAGAACGAGTACTGCAAGAGGACACAATGTCCGAGTCCTAGAAGGGTCAGCTAGAGAGGGCCTCCTGAGGGTCAGCCCTCCCCTGTTCAGGGAGCGTGGACTGGATGGTCGCCTTCGTGGCAGAAAAGGCCTCTTGTGCCAGCCGGATTCACACAGAGTTCAGGAGCTCCAGGGTAACAGGAGCAAACAGGACAATGCATATAAAAGTCCTGAAACCGCCAAAGGCCGAAGCCATCCCAGCCGCCTTGCCCTCGGGCAGCCTTCTTCCCCCAGAGCACGGCGAGTGACGTCGCAAGGTACTTCAGAGCAGAAAGCCTCCACTGCCTGGCCCGCTCCGCAGCAATCAAAACATCTAGCTCTCAGCGCTGGCATGGAGAAAGCAGAGAAGGGAGCAGCCGTCTCCCTCTCTCGCAACAGGAGGATCCTGAATACTAGAGATTCGGGACAGATAAAATACGAGGCCGTGAACAGACAACGCCTAGGTAAACTGGAGAACTCGCTGCCAAATGCCACTAGTTTGGAAAGCTCTAAAAGGGAATCTGACACAAAGCAAACAAGGGCCATTACCTTTGTCATTAACATCAACCAAGGCTGAAGCCTCAGCAACACACACAGATGTCTTGGTCCGGGCTGTGGTAAAAAAGCTCCAGTCTGAAGAAAATCAGGAATAATTTGGGGGCAGAAAGAGGTTCATTCACCCTCAATTAAGCTGAGAGTGCTATTAAAAAATATCAAAATCAAAAGCTAAATAGGGATGTATGAGCAGGGATGGAAGCCCAGCTAATTTGGTCACGATTTGGTCAAAATGCGGGTTAATACAGACTTGCCTTTGTAACCCATTTCCCAGAGGTCCTTAACCCTGCAGCCTAATTGAAGGACTGGGATATATTTGGTGTTTAATTAAACCGTTTTCTCCCCTTCCCATTACCTCTGTCCTTTCAGGAGCTGCAAGAAGAAACAACTCTTCAAGGGTGAGCAGAGGGACACAGTCCTTGCAAGTGGGGTGGGGGGGTCCTTGGACCAGTGCAAGTCCTACAGTGGACATTTCTACGCCCAGGCCAATGTCTGCTATTAATATATTACCGTTACAGCCCTGCTGTTGAAATCTTAAAAATAAAGGTGGTCTTTTAAAGTACTGTACCAAGGAAAGATCACAGAGGGCCACTGATTCAGTCCCCAACAGTTGGGAAACAACCCCTTTTTGAAGTCTTGGCCTAATCTTTGGTCCCCAAGATCTCCCAACAGCTTGGGATAAACGAGCATGTGAGTCCCACCTTTTAAAAAACACAAGGCAGTTCATTAGGGGCACTTCTGCAGCAAGGAAAATATCTCCTGGAGCAATTAAAGCAACCCCCTTTCACTGCACTGTTGTGGAGTGGAGCCTAACGAAGATCCAAAAGCCCACTCTTCCCTAAGCCCTCTGAGGCATTTGCCAAAAAGCAAGCATCTTCAAGGAGCTGCCCTTTTCCCAAAGGCAGCAAGAGGGAAGGAGAAACGTAAGCTTGAAAGCTTAAATAAAAAGAGGGGGGGAAATAGGGAAATGTAACTTCTTCTCAGTGGTGGCACATCTCCTCCAGAATCAAAGGAAGAACAGCTACTTCGGGATGTCTGCTTGCCATCCTATTTGTGGGGCACCAAACCCATTGGGAAAATGCTGAATCAGTCTTTCCCCTCCAGGAACTCTCTAGAGAAGTCAGCTACAACCCCCACCAACCCCCTTCCACAGGATGTGGCATGATGCTTCTGGAAGTTGGTTGGGAAAATCAGGATGAAACACATCACAATCTCTTCTTAGAATTGGCTCCATGCACCAGAAGGCTTAGTCAGTCCACGACTGAACGTGGAGCAAAATTATTCTTGTGCTCCTGTTCAGCTTCGTGCCCTTGCATCCCTCCCTGAAGATTTATTTGGGACAGTGAAAACTAGAGCCCTGCCAGTATTCCGTTATTATGGAAAAGAAAAGATACATCACTGAAAACAATGGGACGGCTCTGCCTCCAGGTTCAACTCACCTTCTTGTGTTATGCAGAGTCGTCCCACCCAGCACGATCCGGACACCAGGGGTGGTGCGATTCAGGTTGTAAACAGTCAGCGCCTCCTCATAAGTTGCCCCACCAATAATGAATACGATGATATCTTGTGGCCTGCAAAGAACGTGGACAGAGCGCTTGGAAAAGGGCAGACGAGAGACACAACCATTAGCTGGAGAGCAGCAACCGGGCCTGATAAACTCCTCTGGAAGAGTGCTGGGCCTGGAAAAGCTACCCCTCTGGCATTCCCATTCCGTACGCCACCGATCACAGCTACAGGTCTTCTTGCCCCGTATCGTCTAGTGTTGTTGCTCTATAGCCCCTTCTGAAGAATACTTGGCAAATGCTGGTCATTTAGGGCCGATTCAAGCTTTATCCCAAATGCAACATATATACACTTCCAAGCAAAGTTGTCTTTGGGAAACTTAATGTTGTGAAATTAGATAATTCTAGTTCTGTCAGCTATTTTAACAACTCCATTGTTATAGCTCCTAATGGTCCATTAATTGTGGGGAAAACTTCTGCCAGTTTATTCCATAACCTTGGTATTTCAATTCTCAAGAACCAATAATTTTACAAACTTTTCCAGTTCCTTCTGAGCTCCACTAGTGTAATTTGGATTTGCCACATCAATAAGCAACATTTACTTTTCTTCAACTCCTATGATGACTGGCATATTGTGCTCTAGATGTGGGTCTATCTGAATTTGGAAATCCCATAAATTGTTTATGTGGGCACTCTGGAGCACTTTTTAATGGTCGTACCGATACTTTAGAGCATTTTTGGCATAAATTCCAATGTATTATTTTTGCCATTCGTGATCCTGTCTTGTCTTATGGACTGTCTTTGCTACAGCTGCTGATTAGATGGTCAACAGCCTCGTCTTTCTCTCTACAAAACCCACATTTGCTGTTGTTTCCCATTTTTTTCATTTCCATGGCACTTCTTGCTGAGCTTGTTCTTGTGCTGCACATATTAAGCCTTCTGTTTCCTTCTTTAATGGATCCAATCATGTTACTGTTACTGCTATTGTTTTCACACTCAGAGATGCCTGATTAGTTTCCAGGGAGAACCAGATGTCCTAGAGAACTAGTTTCAGAGCTCTGCAGAAAAGGGCCAGTCTGGCAGAGCCCCCTCTCCCTCTCTTTCCTTGGCTTGTTCCCCTCTCTCTGTTGCTAAGGTGGGTCATCCCTGGCAACTGTTCCTAGTGGATCCAGTGCTTTGCACAAAGTTGATCAAAAGGACCCCCGGGGGGTTTCAAGCAGAACTGATTCTCTGTTAATAGGAAGAGATTCAAGAACACAACTCACTGGGTGGCTTCCTTGCGGACAGCTTGTGCGAGTGGAAGAAGAGTGGAGAGCAAAGAGCTGCTCGAAATGAGACCGTAACAAAGAAATGGGGCAACGTAACTGCAGAAACACTTGGAAGAGCAAGATCCACAGTAAGAAGTGCAAGGCTTTCCCATTAGAAAGCAACCCTCACAGGTTCGTCAGTTCTAATCTGGAAGAAATAATGACATCCAGCCTTCCCACAAGTCTTCAAGACGACACCAATATACTTAGCCATGGTGGGGAGTTGCAACATGGAGGCCTAACAGTTTAACAATGGGCGGGATCTGCACAGCAGTCTAAACCTAAGTTACTCAGCACTCTTTCGCGCTGCGGCTTGGGAAAGGAAGAGGAGGAAAAAAATAACGTACTTGAAATAACAGATGGTGTCAGCTTCCCTCAAGCTCACCCCTCCATAGGTACTGGACTACCATTCCTATCTCATCAACACACTGGCCGAGTAACAACGGGAGTTTTAGTCCAGCACGTTTGGAGGATGGCCAGTTGGGGAAACCCATGCAACTATTCCGAGATGGCCACCAAAGCAAGCATGGCTTTAATAAAGGAAGACAGAGCAAGATCAGAACAACCCAAAAGCTTCACAGCAGAAGGACAGGGGCTGGCTTTTCTCTGCAGCAGGTGGGCACGCCCAGACTGCAAGAGGAACTCCCGCCCTAGCCCAGAGAGCGCCAGGGCCGCTGGAGTTGTCCGCAGGGAGGGAAAGAGTGGTCTCTCCACGCTCCTGCGGAAACACAGGCAGCGGGGGGGCAGCTGCCCCTGAGAACTGGGGCAACTGGGTCTGAGGACAAAAAAAACAAGCTGAGGCTACATAAAAAAAGAAGAAAGCAGAGCAGAGCAAGCCTTTCATGTACCAGGTTAAAGGAGAGGAACTGTGTGAAAACATCCAAGAAGTTCACTCTGAGCACAACTACTCTTGCCCTACATTACGTACAAAAACGCTTTCAGTAGGAGAAAAACCAGTTCTCCTCACAATTTGCACCACATATACAGGCTGCAGAAATCAAATTCCTTTCTCAAAATAGACTTCCCAGCATTGCAGCCATCTGTCAATCAAGCCAACGCTACCTGCTGGAACAGCTAGGCTGCAAAGGGCCAGAAGCTGACACCCCACCAACGTCGGCCCAGAACAGAAGCGCTGCTTTTTCTCGCTTGCGACAGATCAGTGTCGTGATGACTGGCAAGCAGTTTCCAGGAGACCGGAAGGAAGAAAAGTGTTGTGTTTTGTTATGAGAAAAACAGTAACAATAGTTTTACCACATTATAAAAGTGCAGTTTTATACTGCTCCTTTCTGCATTCCTAACTCAGCTCATGAGTTAGGGTTAACTTCCTAACTCAGCATCAACTCAGCTGGTAAATGGAACAGAACTCACCAGCCTGAGCGCCCCTGGTGCATCACAAGGGCCTCTCCACAGAGTTTTGTCGTTCTTTTAACTGGATGGAAGAAAGGACATAGCGTGGCAGCCTTCTGAGCATCAAGAACAAGAGCCCCATGCCTCTGAACCTCCTGCCTCAAACCCTAACTAAGCTGGACTCATCCATCCAAGATAACACCCATCCTCCTTGGCCAACCAGGCCTCTCTGAGCTTATTTGATTAAGGCTTCCCTCATACCAAGACAGACAGGGAGGAGAAATGGGCACTGTAGCCCTCCACATCTAGAAAGTGCCTAGTTAGGGAAGATTTAATTATTCAGATTTACCCCTCACTCTACGACTTCATGGCCATTATGGCAGTTTCCAGCAACAGCATCTCAGTGAAGGGAGTGTTAACATTCATGTTAAAATAACCTCAACGTCCACTGCAAATGCCAAAGTCATCATTAGCCGCCCTATAACATTTATCCCTCTGGAGCTCTGAGGAAAAGCTCCCCCCGCTCCCCGCAACTCCTGATGTCCGGTTACCTGTCGCGTAGGCTGCTGGGGCCCAGATACGGGTACTGGTTGTCTTTCAGTTTACCCTTGATGAGCTGATCCAGGGTCTCATGCAATAAAGGCTGGTGCTGCGTGTACACATTCTCAACCCCCTAATCAGAAATAAAAGGAAGCGTTTATTTCTGAAGAAACGTTTAGAAGGTCAAGAGAGAATTCAGCCCCTATCGCATGCTGTTTATGAAACTTACTGTATTTTTGCATTCTTCATACACAAACATAATCCTTCTTTGCAGTATGTTTATTGCATATGAATCCGTTTTACTTGGCCCTTTCGTAAACCACCTCCGTGCAGAGTAAGAACACAACTATAGCTGTAACGTGGATGTAGCTAAGAATAATGGAAACGAAAAATACCTTCAGCCCTTTGAAAAACTGTTTGGTGATGGCCACGGCATCCTTTGGGCTGAAGAGATCGCTTGACTGAACCCGTTTCCCTCCATATTCTGTAATGGCAGGCACCAGCTATCCAAAAAGGGGAGAAAGAGAACACCTCTGAGACTTCCGCAAAGCTGGAATACTGCCCTACTCACACTCCCTCCGTTTGAGGGGGCTGATTTCTAAAGAAAAATACAGAACGCGCTAAAAGGTGAGATGTGCCTCTTCCACTTCCCGGGTTTGTGCTCAGCAAACACCGCTGGACAGTCTGCCGGCCGGCCCGCCCGCAGGTTTCCACGTGGATTTCAAGAAGCTGCTGGCTTTCAGCCAAACCTAGAACCATCAAATCCAGAAAGCGAAATTAAACCGCTGAGCTCCCCAGAAGGGTGAGCTTCCTCCGCGAGGCCGCTTACCTTGCGAAGCCTCTCAGAAACCCCTCGGTTCTTGAGATCCACCATGAGCCCCGGAAGGCTGTTGCTGCTGTGGCGCTCGTAATGGAGGGCATAGAGCATCACCAGCCGGACAGCATCCAGCTCAGCCACTCGGGGGTTCTGCAAGAGCCGCCGAATGCTCTACGGAGAGAGAACAGCGCCGCTCTCAGGACTGCAGCAGTACCTTGAGCAGAGCAGTGACGCCGTGCCTCAGGAAGAAAAGTAAAAGGCATGGCCGCCATGCCATTCCCCAAGCAACCGAGAGACGTAGCCTGCCCTTCCTTTGCCAAAGAGACGAGCCTCCTCCCCTTGACAACGAAAGAGCAGAAGAGGCGGCGGCAGATTCCCCTCAAAAGAGTCCGTCCTCACAAAACAAGTCCTTTATTTAAAAGAAGCTGCTTCCTACAACATCCCGGGGTTGCAGAATTCAGAGAAGATTGCTTTCCTAACGGCCTCCCGACGAGTTCTGGGCCTTCCGTCAATTAAAAGTTGGCCTGAATGCCATGGCCACAATTCCTTTTCCTCACCCAGTCGACGGAGGGCTAAAAAACAGGCTCCACCGATAGGATAGGAAAGGAAGCGGCCTTATCAACACCCAGTAAAAATTAAGCCTAAATAGAACAGGGACATCCGTTTGGGAGCGGGAGGGCCAAGCACGCTCTCTATACAGTTAAAAACCTAAGGATGCAGAGACTGAAGGCTCATCTCCTACTGAACCACAGTTCGCTCAGATTTGTTGACTGAACCACTATCAGCTGGGTTCGCTCACCACTAATTCACAAATGATGGTTATCAGCATGCACATAAGATCCTAAGATAGAAGTTAAACCACCTTAGGGCTTAACTGTAAATATGAAAAAGCCTATTCTGGCTTGTTTATGCCATGGTCAATACATCTTGGCTTACCATGACGAGGAACACGCTCATTTCCCTTACAGGGTCGGGAGCATTAAGTGCTGGAAGCTTGAAAGTAGCAACGTGGGAGTATCAAGTCTTACTTTTCCCCACTGGGGCAGCTGCACTGGCACGCCCTTTCATGTGCAGGAGCAGGGCCCCGGGAGGTACCTGTAGAGCACCGGAGTGGTCATTCTGGCAGGCCAGTTCCTGCTCTGCCTCGGACACCTCCAACAAGTTCCTCTCGCTCACCAGCCTCGAGAGCTCCCCCACTACCGTCACGTGTTTGGAGACGGTGCCAGACATCTTCTTGAACTGGGGATAGTTCTCCACAAAGGCCTGGAAGGGGAAGGGAGAACTTTATGTAAGGCTCCTTGCCTGGGCCACCCCAGGGCTGGTCAGGCAGAGAAAGGTCAGGGAGCTCTTGTATATAAAGCAGCCTTCCCCCCCGAGCTGCAGCCTCCTTGACACTCAAGAGTGCCCCAAATTGCACAGCTGCAAGCAGCTGTCTACCCAATGCCCACAGCTGAGCCAGCAGTGGGTAAACTGCCTGGGGAGAACATCCCTCCTACTCCCCCCCCCCACACTTAACCTTCATGTCTGCAATCGATTCTAGTTTCTGCTGCTCTTTGGGTTTTTTCTTCTGGAAGTCCTCCATCAGGTTCTTGATATTGCTGCCAATTTCCGCAAAGTTCAGGTACATGTTCTAAGGAGAGGCGAAGGGACAATCTGAAGAAGGGGAGGGGGATTCCAAAGCACCAGCCCCCTACAAGTTTGGAAAAGTTCCACGAAGTGCCCAGGTTCAGCGAGAGCCCAACCCATCATCAACCCTGGCTGCCACAAAGGAGCATCAAAGCATCACATTATGTCAGCTGGCTCTCAGGAGAAGTTGGGCTGCATGCTTCTCAATACAATCCCAATATCAGAACAGCAAGGCAGGGCACACTGGAGGTGGCTAATTGAAAGTGCTTTCTGTGCAGCCACATGTGTTACATTTGTATGTTGGAGGGACCTGACATTTGGTCAAACCTGGCTGGCTCTACACATCACAATAAGCCATGGTTTGTTGATTAAATCGCAACTGGCTGGGTTCAAGCTCCAACCGAACCATATTAACCATATTAAGCCACATTAAATTCCAACAAAACCATATTAAGGCTTAGGGCGACGCATGAATCCAATTATTGGTTTGAATAGTCCAGGGTCCAACCCACGACCCTGGCAGAGCCAGTAATCCAAGTTTTAATCCAAAAACTCGGCTGGAGGCAGGGGAAAGAGAATGCCACGCTCTGTGGCAGAACTGGAATCCGAAATCTGAAATGCAGATTTGCAGCCCAACTTCTTACATTGGCATAAAACTCATCATTCTCAGCAGACAAGACCACCTCCCGGAGGTCCTTACTTATGCCCGGGACCCGCGCAAGGTCAATGCGATTGTTGTTAATTCCCAGCAGCTCATGAACCATGGCTTGGTACGTCCACTAGACAGAGAGGGAGAAAGTGGAGAGATGGCAAAGTCATTTCTCTTGTGGTGCCACTGAAGAAGAAGAGAACCCCTCTTGCCCTGAAGACTCCAACCGTGATGGCACAGCCGATCCTTCAGAGCCTCCGCAGCCCCAAGGCAGCCACTCACCTGGTTCAGAAGTGGAGTGATGGCATCGTCCGAGCGGTCCAGGAGCAGCAGCAGAGGAGGGACTTCAGTGCGACGGAAGTCAAAGAGTTCGTATTCTTTCGTGATCACTTGCTGTTTGGGGAAAAGAAGCTCCTCTGTTAAAGGGAGATGGAGAGCAGCGTCTCCATCCTACGCAGCTATTCTACGACGCCATACCAGAAGCACAGAGATTGGCCCAAAGTGGCTCCTCCAGTCAGTCTCAGCCCCCTGCTCTTAGATTTAAGCAAAGCCCCTTCCTTGCCGGACCTGTAGCTAGGCTTTCTTTCTCGAAGCAAGAAGGGTAGCAGAGCGGCCAGGAGGTTGAGCTAAGAGCCACCCTATTTCTTGTTCTTGTGCCAAGAGAAACACCCAACCTCAAGCCAACAGACTCCTAGTGAAAAGAGGCACTACCAGAAAAGAGAACTACCAGATGTACAAGCTGGGCTTCGAAGAGGCGGAGGAACTAGAGATCAAACTGCCAACATTCGCTGGATCATGGAGAAACCACGAGAGTTCCAGAAAAACATCCACTTCTGCTTCATTGACTATGCAAAAGCCTTTGACTGTGTGGATCACAACAAACTGTGGCA